GAGCTAGCTGCTTTGATTTCTTTTCTTGCTCGGGCCCTAATAGTTTTTTTGGAAATTTACAATAATCTATGTAGTGTCCTATATTGTTACACCTATAACAAATAACTCTCAGATTTTTTCTCTTAAATATGATCTGTCTCTATTATACTTCCCATCTTTGCCATTTTCTCTACAATACMTTCTGTTTAACCTTGATGGTTAAGGAATTGCATTCCTCATAATAGTCTCTTTTCCTACTACAACTCGTCCTCTGTTTTCATTATAATCACAATTATTATTTTCATTAAAATATACCGATGATTTTGACTTTTGCTTATAGGTTAATTTTTTATAAGTCGTCACTTAGTTTATATTCTCGATTTCTTCTTATTAATTTCCTTCTCAATTYGTTATTCTCTTTTTCTCTGTTTYATGTTTTTAGGTTTAATTGCAATACCCATTTATTTAAAATGTCTATGTATATCATTTATTCCAGTTGTTCTCAAGCTTTTTTGGTTCACAGCACATTATACATCACAAGTTTTCGCGGTACACTCAAAAACCAAATGTAATGAAATAAATTTCTGTTTTCAATATTTTTACCAGCATAACTACAAATATCAGAAACTTCCAGCAGCACACCTAGTCGATCTCTCGGCACAGTATTGTGCTTCGGCACACCGGTTAAGAACCACTGATCTATTCTATTTTATATCATAAACYGCATTAGTTCAATTTTTTCAATTTTTCTTTTAATATTTTTAACCTACTATTATCCTGCATCGAAATTGTTTGTAAAATGTTATTCTTTAAACCTTTTAAAAATTTATCCACAAATATCTCCTTCACTAATGTGTTATGTGCCTATTTACCTTGCAGTCTTGTAAAAGATACTTTTAAAAAGTATTCAAGTACAGATACGGATACTTTTTTTCAAAAGTACTTAAAATACGTATTTGAATACTCGAAAAAAAAGTATTTAAGTACAAATACAGATACTTTTAAAAAGTATTTACAGATACTTTCAAATACTTT